CAGGCGTGGTAATCATGGTTGGACTTGATGATCTTAGAGGAATTTTCCAACCTTAAAGATGCTATGATTCTATCGTAACTATCATGACAGCAAACTTCTGTCAAAGATGTGTTTGTCTGTTGATCCACTTCTGAATAGTTTTGTCAGTGGTGACAGAAAGCAGCACAGCACGTTGCATGGGAGTTGGTTGGCTGATCAATATGTTAAAGGAATTTCAGGTGATCAACCATTTTTTTTAAGGGAAAGCTCCATTAAAGTGAAAGAACACTGTCAAAATGTGTGTACGTGAGCCATTTCCTGGTCACTTGCAGAGTTAGGGTGTTGTGTGTATCTATTCATCTACCTCTATGTATGGGTAGATATGGTACAAATACATATCTCTCTATATATTTACTGGTACAAGTAATATAATTTAGTAAATGTACATTGTATATATGTAAATGCCAACAAGAAAATTTTGTAGTATGTTCAGGGATTTGAAGATCTGGGATTAGTTCACACTTCCTTGAATTAAAATATGCAGTTGAAAATGGAGATTTTCGTGTTGAACAAAAGTTAAATCATCTCACAAATTCTCCTAAGAGAAGCGGCTTTGTACATAGACTGTGGATAACTACATGAGGTTACAGTTTTATTCTCTTTGTTTTAGTGTACCTGTTTTCCATAATTAAAAGCTTAAGCCAAGTTTAAAGGAAGAGTGTACGATCTGAAACTTGATCACACATTTGTGAACATGCAGGAACATCTAGTGTTGTTGTGACTCGTTTCTGGTAATTTTATAAGTCTGGTTTGGAATTTAATTTTAAAATCGTCATCTAGGTGCCTATGGGGATATCAGATGGTTGCCTTGGCAGCATATCTTTGAGTTTGCCCGCACACGTGGATAGCTTCAAGTAACTTTTAAGTTAGCTTTAAGTAACACTCTTGATTTCAGTGAGGTTTTCGTATGCTTAAAGTTCCAGTGCATTTGTGTAATGGGTTGAGAGGCTGATCCTGGAAGGGGCCAAGGGAGCCTGAGTAATCTAACAGTTTCTGTGACTGCGAATTGGTTGTGCGTCTAGGTGCGTTCTTGCTTTTACTGCTGCCATGCATTGTTAGCTGGCCTTTCCATGTTTGTATTTAGAGTGTCTTACAACTGATATATTGCACTTCAGAATACTGAAACCTGAGTTATTTTTTCTGTGTTTTGTTTTTTCTCAAATACAGGATGAAATCAGAAAAGCCAGGTTACTCATACAAAACAGTGAGCCCGTACAGAATGATCAGGTATTTTGGAGTGCAGTTTATGG